CCATGTTATTCCCGTGTGGCTCGTGAGTGAACATCGAATTTTGACCCCATATTGTTTTGGCTATCTCCCTGTTCCATTTTTTTATTTCTTTTATATCTCCTCTAGCCTCATGCACATTTTCACATGAGCGCAAGGAGAGATTGTTTTGTTTAGGCATCTATCTACTTCATCTGTATACGTGATCCTCTACTCAGTGTTTCTTCTGGTGCCTGTATACGGCTTTTTTGATCTAGGTCTCTCACTTTAACTGATCTCTCGAACTATCCGCTGCTTTATTTATCATTCTATTCTTTTTTCCATGTCTCGACCTAGCCACCACCTATTTCTACTTGCTTTCACCCCAGCATACAGTCTATTCAAACAACGGTGCTTGTTCCACCGCTGTTGACCCTTGTTGCCTGCCTCTCTATGAATATTTGTGTTCTGTTCAATCGCTCCACCCTGTACGCTTTCTAGACTTGTTTCCACTCATCCATTCTACTCACCCCCCCCCGTCGATCCAAAACAAACAATGTCTTTCACTTGATTGAACTTCAACGTTGAGATTATAGTCGGTTTGCTAACTGTTCCAGTCCACACACACGAGATGTCACTGATGCTGCTGCGGTAGGCAGAACGCAGTTGTGTACATTTTTTGTTCCTGGACAATCAGTCACACACACACGCAACCAACCAATCAATCCCGTTGATTTTTCACTTCATCATAATAATCCCGGTCAGATTGGTCCCAACCAATTTCATCTGTGTGGGCTGTCGTAATCATCATCGTCACCATCACATGCACACACACAAAATGCCCCTACATATATTTGTTGACCCGCCTGTATTCCCCTTTCCTTTCGCTGTCTATTCGATCGCTGGTTGTATTGTTCATTTGTGTGCTTCAATTTGGCATGTGATTGAAAGACTCAGTCTATCATCTTACACTATCGATGTTTATTTATTGCACATACACCAGTCTATAGCTATTCGGTAAGTAATATACCAGACGATTCACTAAGTCTGAAAACCCACTGCTGAGTAGAATTTTTCGCTGCGGTTCAGTCATACTTTTACCCTGCCAAACTGTGGCAAGCCTGTTCGAACACCCACTTGAATCGTTTGTGCGTCTCTGTAGTCGGGAAAGCCGGCCACCTTGTGCTAACCGTTCGCTACTCGTGAAAAAACAGGTCACAACTATCAATCATTACAGAATGACCTTACTGGACGGTTAAAAATGCGTTATCTGGTTGAACGCTTCAGGTCTGACATTTTTGGGAAACGAGAGGAATTCAAATGTCCTATCCCTGACAAAGCGAAAAGCCTTTTCTTCGTATCAGATCTATTAAGAGGATAACCAATGAGCTCGGGCAGCCAGTGACAATGGAGGAGTTAAGAAATAATGCGAAATTGCTTGTATCTTCAACTCACAGCTTTCCATCCGAAAATAAATCGGCAGCTCTCACATAGTTATTCAACCGTACAACGGCCTTTGTTTTATTTTTCCTTGCAGCCGTGAATCGGATTAGTTATTCCGTGAACTGCTTTTTTCGCCTAAAGATTGTGCCATCAATGAAAAGTTAACCCAACATCGTTATGTCCTTCATCCTAAAACAAACAACAAGCGACTGCCCAGTAAACTTGATTTCTCTCTTATTTGTGAATTAAAATAGGTTCACTATGCGTACATTTATTGGTTTTGCTTTTAGTGTGTGTGAAATTACTATGGCAAAAGTAGCGTATTAGAGAGAACCTAAAGAATTCGAAGTCTGAATACATAGGACGATCGATTGTGAGACTGAATACAGACATCAATATTGTGGTGGCATCATGAATGATGGGGCTTGGTTTCGGTTAGTTTACTTTGGCCGCAATCAGTTTAGTTTTTTACTGTTTGTCCACCATATGAGCCAAAAACAGCAGCGTGTGCTTTCCTCTGAACTAAGCTTAGCATTTAAAAATAAGGAATTTCACATTTCTCAAATCCGTTGTCGCTGATTTCGTGGGTTCATCGGTTCTGAATCGATCCGGTGTGAAGAAAACATTTATTGCATTCTCTTCACAGCTGAATTGATCCGCGTTTCGCCGTATCAGGAATAAGACGTTTGAATTCTTCTCATGTTTCCCGAAAATTCCAGAACCTAAGCGTTCAGTCTGACCAAATGTGTATTTCATCGTCCGTTTGCTACGTCCTGCAATAATTGGTAGTAGTGAACTGCTTATTACGAGCATCGAAGGTTTAACACAAAGTGACCGGCTTCCCCACACAAAGATATATATATGTGGTGTAATTCGAGGACTGAACGCAGTGCTAATATTTGCCGACGCAACCATTACTCGTTCGGAATGCTGTTTACTGTTTACGAATACTTATCTCTCTTAAGGACGTATGGCAGCTAGGTATCGCAAATCGAAACTTTGATGGTGATCGAAACCAAACTTATCCCGGAGGTTTTCGCTGTTTGCGCGATCTATTCTTGGTATTCCGAACGACCAAATGGTATTTAGTGATTTAGTAATAGAGTGGATGAGAGAGTTACCCTCAGTCTAAAAAGGATGGGGAGAGGCCATTCNAGGCCATTCAGGTTCGACCCTGCTTGTGATGACCTCTGGTGCTGTGTATTAGGTCTTTGTCTATTCCCTGATGTAGAGGTTACTTTTAGTTCTCTGGTTATATTTACCCATCAGGTTTTACACGATACTTCTCAAGGCGTTTTCAGATCTGATGTCGCAGATACCAACCGTTACTCCGTTGATCCTGACAGATTATGATCTTTCGCTTTTGCACTATCTTGACTCCTAACTCCCGAGAGATCTTATGTCTTCAGCAAAATTCCGTCCCGGCCCACAGTCATACTTTACTGTTGAATGCTTAGCACATCTGGTTTGACTGTACCGTTGACGTACTTCACCACATCGCAAGACTTTTAACTCCTGACTAAGCTTCTCTTCATAATGAGTGAGTATCGTAGAGTATGATGAGTTTACCGAGGCTGCAACTTGACCGATGACTGAGGGGTTGAAGCGTGAAGTGCATCAGGTAATCCAGTAGGATCCGCCATTTTATACTGAGCCACGCCAACGGTAGGTTACAGCTATTTGGTCAATTTTAGTCGACTTGCCCGTTGAACTAGAACACCATGGTGCCGTTCGACGAGAGTTTTGTCAAAGTTCATGACAGAAAAGAACATCAATGATCCTCGCAGGACTGGAACATTCGCTCGCTGTTTTTATTTGATGGGCGGGTACAATGAAATGCCTTCCTAAACAAGGTTAGGCTGCGTTTAGCTTTCCAGTCTGCGCGGTAAAACATCTGGCCGCACAATAGGATTAGAGCTGTGGATCAGCTGATTGATTTCAGTGAGCTTGTAAATCCGTCCTGTCTGTTGAGACTGCAATCAGGCGGTGCTTCGTTTCCGAATACTAGCTGAGGGTTGAAGCCTCCTTGCGCAGAAACGACTACCAAGGGGTATTCGATCTATCATCGAGGCCTTAAATTTATCGTTTATTACGAGTTATACCCCACTCTGACCCAGCGATCTAAATTCATCGTCTCCTGTTATGCAGAGAAAATACATGGAGGACAGACCCGGCCCACTTAATTGACCCAAACTACTATTATCCTGAATTTGTATCGCCAGTACGCAGCAGAAATCGTTTTCAAAGAGTTCGTTGTACGCTCAGGATACGATTATTGAACAATCTGCGACAGTCTTCAGGTTGGATACCCTCAGATTCTGATTTTGACAAGGCTTCAAAATATGCAATCAAGCTCTTGGTAAAATATTACTGTGCTACTTGGATACACCTTTTGGTGAGTGTAATATGATAGGTCGAAGGAGAGTTAGGTATATCAGGGAAAGAATTGAGCCACGGTCCAGGTGTCTGAGCAGTATCCCAGATATTACTACCTATCCCGCTCGATGCACTGGGCAGCGTAGTGTTGATTATACGACGTCTCTTGCAGCCAACCTAGTTTCATCTAGAGAACCAAGTAAGTGAGTGAGCACATTTCGAATGAAATAGCAGAAACCGGTACCTTGTCTTTCTCTTGGAATCATAGGGCTGTTCTGGAAGAAAAAACATGGCACGCAATTTTTCCGCTTTAAACGCATTATCTAACGCTTTTTTCAACCGTCAGCTAAGGCCTTTCGCTTATAACAGTAAAGAAACGCGAGATACGATTGAGAAAAATGGAAGCGTTTTACACGAAATTTTGAATTTCAAAACTAAGTACCGCTGAAGTAATGAAGGTAACCGTAACTCATTGAACTTATTAAGAGATATCTGATGTGTATCCAGATGCTCGGCAAAGTATTAAAGTATGCTGGAAGGTATCCATCACTTGTTATAGTTTTCAACTACCCATTTTATTATAGATGATGTAAAACTTTATGGACACCATAGGTTATTCTCCTATTCTATCAATGAATTTGAGTGGTAAAAACCTCTTCCATCAATTCTTAGTGATCTGCAACTTGTCCTCCAATTCATGCTCACCCGCTTGACGAAATCTTAAAATAACCTAACTGGAACACGAATTGGGTCATATTTGTTGTGTTGAGCAATACATAAACCGACACAGTTGGGCCTTGTAGAATTCATTCTCTTTTTCCGGTTAAATGTGAAATGCAATCCACGGGCACAATGGCTAAGCGTCGACGCTTCATTCTATAGCTTTTGATCCGTACGTTTTTGGGGAGAGACAGGTGTCTACGCGTTACTGTGTTATCCATGATAAGGCGTTGATTCGATAATCGTGCGTTAGCGGTT